CTGTGTAATAATTAATATTTACACAGTAGCCCCTAGGAGACTAGTATATAAAGGGGGCCATTCATTTATAATTCACGAAGCAAACAATTCAAGTTCTCTCTAATACAAAGCTTCCTTTAACAATTCAGTTGTGTTCTTTCTACCATTCTCTTAGCGATCTTGAGTGCAATAAGGCTGACTTGGCATACCAAGAACGTGAGCAAGTTGTGCAAGATCGTGAGCAAGTTGTCAAGTGCCGCACGTGTACTTAGTTAACGACTAAGGACGTGGCAACGTGGTATCAGAGCAAAGATTGCAACTAAGGGAATGACGAACGACGGAGAAATTAACGTTGCCAACACCCAAGCCAACGTCATCCAGGATGCTGCTAGCAAGAGCGGCCGTAGCAAAAAGAGGAATGCCACCAACAAGTTCCAGGAGGTGCCACCCGAGGTTGTGTCAAACGAAGGGCTTACATCCCAAGAACCATCTGCCACTGAGGTGAGCGAGGATGAAGTGGAGGTCCTGCCCGAGGACGTCTCGCTCGGTAAAGAGTGGGTGATGAAGATGAACGCGAGGATGGATGCCGTAGAGATCTTTGGCCAACGCTTGAGGAAGGTGGAAGGTACCCTTAGCGTTCTTGAAGGGTACACTCTTGAAGAGATTGAGAGTATCCGAAATAATTTGGAGGGACGTGACACTAACTTCAAATCTTTAAAAGCTTGAAATTTGAACTTCAGACTGCAGACCTTTGTAGCCCGCTTCCAACTAGAGACCGTAAGGTTAAATTTAATTTTAAAAATTCCGAAATTTGAGCTTCAGAGCCGACGGTATAGGCTTAGCCGGCTTCCTATTGTTTTTATTATTGTAAATAAATATTAAAAAATAAATATTTTTATATTTAAATGTGATCATGTTATGTTCCTTTTAGAGATTCCTTCCTTCAACACAACAATGCTTTGGTTCCTTCTTGGCATATAGACAACAAACATGTATCTTTATATGATCAACCAAATACATTTCGGTAAATGGCTCCACATATAAACAAGTACGGATCATATACATGTCCTACATTGCTTGCTTACCAACAAAATTTTGTTAGAATAGTGACAAGATTTTTGATTTTGCTCCACGCAACTAGAATCATTCCAAGACTTGTGCTTGGGCAACACAGATACTTGAGGATTTTTCATTTAAAAAGATTGTAATTTATAGAGAAAATAATAAAAATGATCTTTATCTTTGAGAGACGGGACTAGGTATAAAATAATCTCCTAAATATACTTAGAGTAATTTCGGTCATTTAAATTTGTTAAACGAAAGTACATTTAATCTCTGTCAAATATTTAACAAGCGCTAATTGTTAGATTTAATGAACACTGCAAAAAAAATTAACCAAAAAAATGTTAGAAAAGTCTTGTCAAATCTAAGATCCTGTTTGGCCAAGCTTCTGTGAGGGCAAAAGTACTTTTTCTCCCAAAAAAAAAGTATTTTTTAAAAAATTTAAGCTGTTTGGCCAAGACAGAGAAGTACTTTTGGCCAGTAGCAAAAGCAGTTTTTCTGCTTTTGGGAAGAAGCAGAAAATTTTAGCTCCTCCCAAGAAGCAGAAGCAGAAGCAGAAAATTAATTTATTCAAGACAAAACTATCCTCACTATAAATTTATATTTTCCAATTATCCCTTATTGATTTAAGTTTTTTTTATTTTTGTTTTTAGTTTTTACCATTCTTTTAAAATTTAAATATATCATATACATAATCATATTGTAACTTTTCAAATTCTTTATTGACTTTTCTTGTTTTTATTTTTCTTTGTATAATGTCTTGTACCTTTCCAAATCTTCTTCTTCTTTTTCCACACTAAAGTAAATTATCTACAGCCTTTTTTGGATTATCAATTATCTTCTTACAAGTAATCATTTATAATTTCTTCTCTTATAGGCTATTAATTCCCGAATTTTTCAAACAGTTATCAAATCTAATTTGTGAAAATTACCTACAAATAGGTAATAAATCTATAATTGCATCGCATAATTTATATATTATTAAAAGAAGAAGAAAAATCCTCCACATTGAGCCAAGTGACAACCTCACAATAAGCCACTAGTTAGGTTAGGTAATAATTATTATTTTTTGAATTTAAATTATGCATTATTTGTTGTTAATAATTAGTTACTCTTTTTGAATTTGAATTTAAACATACTTAATTAATTTTTTTACAAAAATAATAATTTTTTATATATTTAAAATTATTTCTATTTTATTCTCAATGCCATCTTTCAAGTTTGACACTCAGAATCATCTTGTTACAACAAATAAATTATGCATTATTTGTTGTTAATAATTAGTTACTCTTTTTGAATTTGAATTCCGATCTTACTTAATTAATTTTTTTACAAAAATAATAATTTTTTATATATTTAAAATTATTTCTATTTTATTCTCAATGCCATCTTTCAAGTTTGACACTCAGAATCATCTTGTTACGGCTACCATAGCTATACAAAATTTCACCCGACGATATTCTTCTACCGATAAAGAATTCAACTATTATGCTAATAAAGACATTATTGCAGAGAGTGAGGAAGGAGATGGGTCTTCTGGTATTCCTTTAAAAATGCAAGGCAAGTCTTACTAATATGGAGGCGTTGTGTGATAGAATTAGAGATGAAATTATTGAGAAATGTTATCATGTGTGAGCGACTTTGCTTATTATTTCATGGTGGATATCCAATATATAGTAATTGGTGGAATATACTTCTAATTCATACTGAATGGTGTATTTTGATTATTCAAATCGTCATGTAAATAATAAATAATTATACTAGATAATATTATATGATTTGGTATAACTATATATGTTATATTGATTTAAATTTTTGATATGTATGTTTTATTTATATTTTATTTTTATTAAATAAAACAAAAAATAATAAAAGTCTCTTACAATAAATATTAAAGTTTATTTTTCTCTTTAAAATAATTATAAGACTTTGGTACTATCCTTTTTGATAATTTGAAAGTTAAAAGTACTTTTAGAAAGATCGGCCAAACACAATTTGTTTACCAAATATTGCAAAAAGTACTTCTTAAATGAATTGACCAAACACAAACTGTTTTTTTCCAAAAGTATTTTTGGATAAAGCACTTTTGGAAAAAAGTACTTTTCAAAATAAGCAGTTTTTTGCAGCTTGGTCAAACGGGCTCTAAGCTAGCTTTTGGAAATAGATTTGGTTGAAACTTGAAAAATGAGTTTTTGAATATGAGATGAAAAATAAATTTTGAAAATTGAAATTATGTTTGGACATACATTTTACTTGAAAAGAATTTGAAGTTTTGTGAGTAGAAAATTTAAAAACTACTCTAAAGTTGTTTTTGGGATTTGAAGATTTTCTTTACCAAATCTGTCCAAAAAATAGTTAAAATCCATAAACAAACATATGTTTGAAAATAAATTTAACAAAAAGTTCCCAAATTCCATGACCAAACGGTAGCTAAGAAATTGGAGTACCAAAAATTGTAGCTGACACCAGAAATTAACCCAAAAAGGTAGATATTGGACAAAGAAAACACACCAAACACCAGAATTAGACAACAAAAAAAAATAGTAAAAATTGGACCAAAAAACTGCAACAGCACTAAAAATAGACCAAAAGCAGCAGAAATTGAGAAACAATTGTACCTCCAAATGTGAGTTCCAATAACGGAGAAGGGTCAAAACTAGCCGCTATAGTTTGCTAAATGGTTCCATCTATCAGTCCAAAAAAATACACGACGTTAATTCTATTAACAAAATTACCCCCGCGACTAACGGCAAAACTGGTGGGCCTACATTTAATGACGTGTTATTTTTTTACTGGGCCACGTGGCAATCTCTGACTGGAACAAAAATGGATACCATTTCGACCCACTTAGCTGACCCGACCCAATGGCTTCCCATTTCTTCCGATCTTCTTCTTGATTTTCAAGATCTGACTGGAACAAAAATTCTGCCTATAAATTTATCTGGGATGACTTTGAGTTTTCAGTCTCAGACTGTGAAGCTTCAGAAATTCTCCTTAAAGCTGGATCAACTAAAACCATTGAAATACCTGCAGCAAAGGTAACTTTGAGAACGAAATCTTGGTTATATTGATATTTTGATCTTGCCCTTTTCATTATATGATGGTGGCTCTGAACTTTTTGGCACTTAAAATTCTATTAAAATTATGTCAGATGGGAAGTACATTTATCTGGGATGTTACCATTGTGGGAGGGGAAGCGAGCTATAAGGAGGAATTTGTGCCAGAGGATGAGAACTCTTACAGAATTATCATTCAGAAGGAGAAGAAGTTGAGCTCGCCAATTCGCAACACATTCAAGAACAATGAAGTTGGAAAAGTTGTGCTGACAATTAAGAACACTGCTAGCAAGAAGAAGAAGGCGTTTTACCGACACAAGATCAAGAAATCAGCAATTTGATATCACAAATTTCTGTTTTGAGTGAAGATGAAGATGGAGTTTTATTTCAGTTTTTTGTTCCCAGCAGTATAACCTTTTTTTTGTGGTTCATATACTTTATTATTCTTTTGGCCCTATATTCATAAATATTGTATATGTTGATTTATTCATTTTTCTCCCTATAAGGAACATGATCTCTGGATTTTTGAAAATCAAGAAGAAGATCGGAAAAAATGGGAAAGCCATTGGGTCGGGTCAGCTAAGTGGGTCGAAATGGTATCCATTTTCGTTCCAGTCAGAAATTGCCACGTGGCCCAGTAGAAAAATAACACGTCATTAAATGTAGGCACACCAGTTCTGTCGTTAGTCGCGGGGCTAATTTTGTTAATAGATTAACGTCGTGTGTTTTTTTGGACTGATAGATGGAAAGAGAGTATTTATAAATCATTTAGCAAACGATAGGGGTAGTTTTGGCCCTTTTCCGTTCCAATAATTTTCTTTTTGAGTATAACAACTGGAGTTTATTAAATACTATTTGACAGAGATTATTTTTAGCAAATTTGAAAAATTATAACTGCTTCGAGGTGCTTGGACAACTTCAAACCTACTTTTTCATTTTTGTCATTTTTCTCAATTTAACTGTTGGACATATTTCAAGGACAGTAAAGAGAAGGCTGTTGAATCTTTTCGAATGAAGTAGAATATGGAGTCAATTGGTTTTGTGGCGGCTAACCAGAAAGTATTAACATTGCACGATAGCAACCGAAGTACGGAAGGACAGTGAAAACATGGTTGTTCTCTTTTGTTTTGTGGAATGCAGTATGCATCTTTGGGTGAAAAATATTAGGTTCTGACATGATTAGTCTGTTGGAATGCCAAACCCAAAGAAACCAGAACATATGCTCCAACTTCTCCAGCATTTCATCAAACACTCTAACCAAATCAAACAAATACATTCCCTTCTCACAACCAGTGGCCGTCTCCTCCTTACCTCTCAATGGATCAACACACTTCTTTACAACACTCTCATCAGAGCTTACCTCAACATTTCCCAGCCTCAAACAACTCTCATCCTTTTCACACACATGCTTTTTCATCAAGCTCAACCAAATAGCCATACTTTCCCTTCCCTTATCAAAGCAGCCTCATCTTTCCCGCCCCATTTGGCTTCCCATATAGGCAAACCCCTTCATTGTCAAGTCTTGAGAAGAGGGGTGTTGAGTGACCCGTACGTGTGTACATCTTTTATTGGGCTGTATTCTCAGGCGTGTGAACTCGGGAGTGCGCACAAGGTGTTTGATGAAATTCCTGAACCATGTGTTGTTTCGTATAATGCGATGCTTGATGCTTGTGGGAAAAATGGGGATATGAGTTTGGGTTTTTTGATGTTTTCTCGCATGCCTTACAGGGATGTTTATTCATGGACTAGTATGATTCATGGGTACATGAAGAATGGGTGCTCTGAAGTTGCTGTTAAGTTCTTCCAGAGAATGATGGTTCATGAGGATGTGAAGTGTGGTTTATTGAAGCCAAATGAGGCTACTTTTGTTAGTGTTCTTTCTTCTTGCACGTTCTTGGATGTTGGTGTGGCGTTATATTTAGGGAGGCAAGTACATGCTTACATGGTAAAGAATGAGGAGTTGAGTGTCTTCATGACGACCGCGTTGATTGCGTTTTATGGGAAGATGGGTTGTTTGGTATATGCTTCAAAGGTATTCGATGCAATGGTTATCAAGCAGGTTTGTGCTTGGAACGCTATGATTTCTTCCCTAGCTTTGAATGGTAGAGAGAAGCAGGCATTAATGATGTATGAGAAGATGAGAGCAAGGGGGCTGCAACCAAACGAGATTACATTCGTGGCAGTTCTATCAGCTTGTGCGCGTGCCAAGCTTGTTGATTTGGGGTTTAAATTGTTTGAAACAATGTCGCATGAATTTGGACTTGTACCTAAGATGGAACATTATGGTTGTATGGTTGATCTCTTAGGGAGAGCTGGGCTACTGCAGGAAGCGCATGACTTTATGAAAAAGATGCCTTTTGAAGCTGATGCCACTGTCTTGGGTGCGCTGATGGGTGCTTGTAGACTTCATGGAGCCATTGAGCTGGGAAATGAAGTCGCACAGCTATTGCTTAAGTCGCAACCGAATCATTCTGGGCGATATGTGCAACTCTCAAGCATTTATGCTGGGGCAGAGAGGTGGGATCATGCTGCTGCCTTGAGAAAGGTAATGTTAGATGCTGGAATACACAAGGTTCCAGCCCACAGTTTTATTTAGTAGAGTTTATAACTGCAGCAGTTTATATTTGCAAAATTTTGTCGATGAGCCTGCTTGGTGATGAAATCTTTGCTCATCAGAATCAGCTAAAAGGTATCACTTTTTGTTTTCTACTTTTGTTTTTCTGAATCTTTTTCTTCCCCACCAAGCTTTGAAGTTGTGGAGCGGTTTGCTAATTAATTAATCTGAACAATAGTTAATCATGATAAACAACATTTAAAGGCTAGTGGTTCTGCTTGTTTTCTTCCTGAGTGAAGCGTCACATCCGTATGGATTTCAATCACTAGCAATTTTAACACTCAATTGTGTGTTTATGGCTATCTCAGTTTAGGCTTTGAACATTATTCCCGATCCCAGTTTTTTGCAGGTATCATTATGCAGTTGTTGTTTCAAGTTACTGTTTGGGATAGGGGAATCTTAATAGCTCAGTTGGTTGGTTGGCTACCTGAGTTTTCACCTTGTTGGTGAGGGTTCAATATCCACCTTGTAATTCCCTACCCTATTTCCCCCTCCCTTCCCCAAATTCAACAAAAAGTAAATAAATTATTGTTTGGAATTGAGGCATAATTGTTGTTGTATACTCCCTCCGGTCCAAAATAAGTGATTTTTTGGCCTTTTTCTTGTGGTCCAAAATAAGTGATTTTTTCAAATTTCAAGAATGAATTAATTATTTTTTCCTACATTGTCCTTGGAGTAAATAGTGTTGGAATATGTGTTAGGAGTGTTTATGTGAGTTAGTAAAGGTTAATATGGTCAATTCCATTGCTAATTAATGCTAAAAGGTGAATTTCTTAATCTGTGTGAAAACATCCAAAAAATCACTTATTTTGGACCGGAGGGAGTAATAGTGATATCTAGGTCAGCTTGTGCGCTACTCGATTAATTAAACTCGTACCTTGTACTTTTCACCAGCACAAATATCAGGTAACTCTACCATCCGGTCTTGGGTAAATTGGAATAATTCATCTAGTGTCATCTCTGCCAGGATTCTACCTGGTTTCCGAGGTTGTTTCTCCAATTTTTCAACTGCTAGACCAGCCTCACTGTGGTCGTTGCTTCAAGTTATTATATGTTGACCAATATTGATGAATACCTTTCTCCTTTCAAAGTACGCGGGACAGTGGAACTATTTTTGGAATTTTAATATGCTTTCTAGTGTGATCCCAATTTCCTAACAAATTGTTTCATGTTTTCCTATGATCTTGAGCTTGCGCGTTGTACATGATCCTTAAAAATTTTATTATCAACCAGAAGAGTTTCACCAATTCAATTGTATTACTCTATATTTCCACTTTAGGTACTTAAATGACACAAATCGCTATGAGCAACGCAGACTTTAAGCATATGAATTTGGCTAATATATCTCATTATTAACATCGTAGCATTATGAAATTCTACAAATGTTTTGGATAAAATGGTAGCCATAGTGTTGTGAACTTATCACTGTGTTGCATGTCTCTCTTGCTCTTCTTCTTCTTCTTCATGTCAAGCAATATAGCATGAAATTGTATCTTACAGTGTGTTAGTAAAAAGAAGAAGCCAACCAGGAAATTTTTGGGTCACCCGTGAAGAAGGTTTGGAATTCTAAATGCACCAGTGGAAGTGATAATCTTTACATGGCTAGTCAAAACAACATACAAAAGAGGGGCTTTCTGTGTGGAGGAGAATCTGATCATATCTCTTTTGGCATACGTTCTTCAATGTTTTGATCCTGAAGCGGGTTATTCCAAATTCACCTGCTGATCTGTTATTATGCTGGCACAAAAGGGCATTTATACATAAACAGGCATTCAAACTTGGCCTCAGCAAGCAAGTAAGCACTCCAACTTTGGGAGTGCACATATAGACACTTCAACTTGACACAAGTGTGTCTCGTGGACACCCAAGACCTGACACAGGGTGTGGGTTGTTATTACATTTGAGCGTGTGAGATGCTTTTCCAACCCATTTACAGTTGTCAGCCTCTGATTGGGTTACTGATCCGCGTTAGAACGTGTGTAACTCACGCATTAGACCTGGCGGAAATTTGTGTTTACGGATTCAACTTTATACAGGATAAAACCCTCAATTCACCAAGAAGTTATCTTTGAAATATTCTCATGGCTTCCTACAAAGTACTTAATGCGTTTCAAGTGTTAGTATACTGTATTTGTAAAATAATTCTGGAAATATAAATGAACATAAACAGAATTGAACAACGAAATAACAGAAAACCAATTCGAACCCACTGAATTCACAGTGTTTCCTTAAGGAATTTAATCCCATCCTAGTACCCAAGGTTATGGATTATTTCCTCCCAGGATAGAACGAATTACACACTGGTGTAGTGGTACTTCAAACACCAGTGTTTCAGCGAACACAAAGTTCGGTAGCAAATCACACTTGCTGTTGCTTTGTTTGATGCTAAAAGTATGCAGAAGAAAGAGGAGAAACTCAAAAAATCGTAGTGAAATTCTGAGCAGAATAGTGTTGTATTTATAGCCGAAGTTGGGTTGAAATCTGAAGAGGTGCAACTCTTCAGAATGGCCGTTTATACAAAATGGCCACGGAATGGTCATTTACTCAACAATAAAGAGGGAAAATGGAAGAGGGTAGTTACTTTTCTGTTACCAAAATAGAAAACGGATTGGATTTAATATTAATATTTAATATTAATATTCTGTTATTAAATCAAATATTTAATAACATTTGTGTTAATATTTTATTATTAACAAATAAATTTGGTCCAAAAAGTTAATCAATCAATCGATCATTTGACCAAATCCGAATCCGAATCCGAACTCGAAGTCGAAGCCGAAGCCGAAGCCGAAGTCGAAGCCGAGCCGAGCGACGACGGCGACGACGCGAGGCTTGCCTTCTTCTCAACTCTTTAAGAGCTAGAAGAAGAGCAATTGCTTATATACCCATAAAAAACCTCTTCCTCTTCCAATATGGGACAATGTCCATTTGCCAAGGGGGGAAACTTAAAATTTCACTCAAAATTTTATTTTCCTCCATTTCCCATTCACCCTCTTTTAAGTATTTAATATGTTAATTAAATACATAAAAAACCCAACAATCCCCCACATGAATGGGGAATGGCTATATCACGGAAGTATGCATGAAAAACTGTGTGATTCGCAAGCAAGGATTAATTGCATCTGGATAAGTAGGTTTCCCTTTGAACTTTCCGTAGTGAACTTATGTCGGATATACTCGATCAATCGGTAGATTTGATATCTTTGAACCGTCGAGCTTTGGTGTATACCTAGACAACCACAAGTCACACAACCAACCCTTAACTGTCTTTGGTTCTCATTGTTGTGTTCGTTTCAACCATGAACACCGCCTGGTTTCATAAGTGCGTAGAGAACTGGCCTTACAAAGTTCTCCTTGAAGCGGCTAACACTTCACACTTACATAGGTGATTCCTAAATGTGTCATCCCGTAGATACACTATTTGATATGCCCCGTATTAAATTTAGAAATCAATAAAAAGCCTTAATGCTTTATCCTTGGTACTGAACATTGTCTCATCGCGAGAATGGACCAAAAGTTTAGTTGACAATGTTGAACCGTCATTAATGACTTTGTTTGATCTCCTTGAACCTAGATCTTGGGATCTCCAGTCTTCTAGGTAGAGTTACCGCCACTATGACTTGTTTTCGGCCATAGTCCCATTCCCCTTGATGACTTCTCAACTACCTCTCTAGTTAGGCCTTTTGTAAGTGGATCCGACACATTATCACTTGACTTTACATAGTCAATCGTGATAATTTTTCTAGAGAGTAATTGTCTAACGGTTTTATGTCTTCATCGTATATGACGAGATTTACCGTTATACATAACGCTCCCAGCCCTTCAAATTGCCGCTTGACTATCACAACGTATGCATATTGGTGCCAATGGTTTGGGCCAAAATGGAATATCTTCCAAGAAATTCCGGAGCCATTCAGCTTCTTCACCGGCTTTATCTAAGGCTATGAATTCACCCTCCATTGTAGAGCGGGCAATACAAGTTTGTTTGGACGACTTCCAAGATACCGCTCCTCCACCAATAGTGAATACATATCCACTTGCGGACTTGGAATCAGTTGATCCGGTGATCCAATTTGCATCACAATATCCCTCAATGACCGCATGATATTTACTGTAGTGCAAAGCAAAGTCCTGGGTATGTATTAAATACCCCAAAACTCTGTGACGACCCGACCCGTCGTATCATGTGTTACCGCCCCGTTTTCCCCCATTTATTGCTTCTTCATGTTTCGTTATCGGCATTTGGTGAGTTAGAGTTGAATTGGTTTGGTTTTGGTGGAGAATGAGACATTTAGTCTCCTTAAGGAAGGCTTGTGTTGGAAAGGTCAACCGGATGTTGACTTATGAGTTAGAGGGCTCGGATTGGAGTTCCGGTGATTCGGGTAGCTTCGGGAGGTGATTTGTGACTTAGGAGTGCGATCGGAATTGATTTTGGAGGTCCGGTGCAGAATTAGGCTTGAATTGGCGAAGTTAGTATTTTGGCGAATTCCGGTTGATAGGTGAGATTTTGATCCGAGGGTCGAAAT